AAAAAAAAAAAAAAAAAAAAACCAAAAAAAACCCAAAAAACCCCCGAAAAACCCCAAAATAACCCCAAAAAAACCTAAAAAAACCCCCCAAAAACTCCCAAAAAAACAAAAAAAAACCAAAAACCCCCAAAAAACCCCAAAACACCCCCCAAAAAAACCCCCAAAAAAACCCCAAAAAACCCCAAAAAACCCCAAAAAACCCCAAAAAACCCCAAAAAACCCCAAAAAACCCCAAAAAACCCCAAAAAACCCCAAAAAACCCCAAAAAACCCCAAAAAACCCCAAAAAACCCCAAAAAACCCCAAAAAACCCCAAAAAACCCCAAAAAACCCCAAAAAACCCCAAAAAACCCCAAAAAACCCCAAAAAACCCCAAAAAACCCCAAAAAACCCCAAAAAACCCCAAAAAACCCCAAAAAACCCCAAAAAACCCCAAAAAACCCCAAAAAACCCCAAAAAACCCCAAAAAACCCCAAAAAACCCCAAAAAACCCCAAAAAACCCCAAAAAACCCCAAAAAACCCCAAAAAACCCCAAAAAACCCCAAAAAACCCCAAAAAACCCCAAAAAACCCCAAAAAACCCCAAAAAACCCCAAAAAACCCCAAAAAACCCCAAAAAACCCCAAAAAACCCCAAAAAACCCCAAAAAACCCCAAAAAACCCCAAAAAACCCCAAAAAACCCCAAAAAACCCCAAAAAACCCCAAAAAACCCCAAAAAACCCCAAAAAACCCCAAAAAACCCCAAAAAACCCCAAAAAACCCCAAAAAACCCCAAAAAACCCCAAAAAACCCCAAAAAACCCCAAAAAACCCCAAAAAACCCCAAAAAACCCCAAAAAACCCCAAAAAACCCCAAAAAACCCCAAAAAACCCCAAAAAACCCCAAAAAACCCCAAAAAACCCCAAAAAACCCCAAAAAACCCCAAAAAACCCCAAAAAACCCCAAAAAACCCCAAAAAACCCCAAAAAACCCCAAAAAACCCCAAAAAACCCCAAAAAACCCCAAAAAACCCCAAAAAACCCCAAAAAACCCCAAAAAACCCCAAAAAACCCCAAAAAACCCCAAAAAACCCCAAAAAACCCCAAAAAACCCCAAAAAACCCCAAAAAACCCCAAAAAACCCCAAAAAACCCCAAAAAACCCCAAAAAACCCCAAAAAACCCCAAAAAACCCCAAAAAACCCCAAAAAACCCCAAAAAACCCCAAAAAACCCCAAAAAACCCCAAAAAACCCCAAAAAACCCCAAAAAACCCCAAAAAACCCCAAAAAACCCCAAAAAACCCCAAAAAACCCCAAAAAACCCCAAAAAACCCCAAAAAACCCCAAAAAACCCCAAAAAACCCCAAAAAACCCCAAAAAACCCCAAAAAACCCCAAAAAACCCCAAAAAACCCCAAAAAACCCCAAAAAACCCCAAAAAACCCCAAAAAACCCCAAAAAACCCCAAAAAACCCCAAAAAACCCCAAAAAACCCCAAAAAACCCCAAAAAACCCCAAAAAACCCCAAAAAACCCCAAAAAACCCCAAAAAACCCCAAAAAACCCCAAAAAACCCCAAAAAACCCCAAAAAACCCCAAAAAACCCCAAAAAACCCCAAAAAACCCCAAAAAACCCCAAAAAACCCCAAAAAACCCCAAAAAACCCCAAAAAACCCCAAAAAACCCCAAAAAACCCCAAAAAACCCCAAAAAACCCCAAAAAACCCCAAAAAACCCCAAAAAACCCCAAAAAACCCCAAAAAACCCCAAAAAACCCCAAAAAACCCCAAAAAACCCCAAAAAACCCCAAAAAACCCCAAAAAACCCCAAAAAACCCCAAAAAACCCCAAAAAACCCCAAAAAACCCCAAAAAACCCCAAAAAACCCCAAAAAACCCCAAAAAACCCCAAAAAACCCCAAAAAACCCCAAAAAACCCCAAAAAACCCCAAAAAACCCCAAAAAACCCCAAAAAACCCCAAAAAAACCCAAAAACCCCCAAAACCCCCCTGAAAAAAACCCCAAAAAACCCAAAAAAAACCAAAAAAACCCCAAAAAACCCAAAAAAAACCCAAAAAAACCCCAAAAAACCCCAAAAAACCCCCAAAAAACCCCAAAAAAACCCCAAAACCCCCCAAAACCCCCCAAAAAAAAAAAAACCCCAATTCCAACCCGGAAAATCGGGGATCTTTCCCGAATTTTCCCTGCGTTTGCTCACCTCCTCCACCTCCAGGTCGATGCACCAGATCACCAGGTAATTGGCTGTCTCCTCGCACACCAGGTGAGGATTATCCGACAGCAGTTTCTGGCTGTCGTCCCAACGCCTCAACATCCCTGCAAAAACCGGGAAAAATGGGAATTCTTCCCACTCTGGAAAAATGTTGGGGTGGAAAGGAAGCATTTGGTGTTAAAATTTAATTTAGTTCTTGCTAAAAATCTGTTTGATTCCAGTTAAAATTCAATTTGATTCTCCCTAAAATTCAATTTGATTCTCAATAAAATTCAATTTGATTCTCCCTAAAATTTAATTTGATTCCAGTTAAAATTCAATTTGATTCTCCCTAAAATTCAATTTGATTCTCCCTAAAATTCAATTTAATTCTCCCTAAAATTCAATTTGATTCTCCCTAAAATTCAATTTAATTCCCCCTAAAATTCAATTTGATTCTCCCTAAAATTCAATTTAATTCTCAATAAAATTCAATTTAATTCCAATTAAAATTCAATTTAATTCCCCCTAAAATTCAATTTAATTCTCCCTAAAATTCAACTTAATTCCCACTAAAATTCAATTTAATTCCTGATTTAACTCCCCCTATAATTCAATTTAATTCCTGATTTAATTCCCCCTATAATTCAATTTAATTCCTGATTTAATTCCCTCTATAATTCAATTTAATCCCTGCTAAAATTCAGTTTAATTCCACCTAAATTCTAATTTAATTCCCCCTAAAATTCAATTTAATTCCCACTAAAATTCAGTTTAATTCCCACTAAAATTCAGTTTAATTCCCACTAAAATTCAGTTTAATTCCCACTAAAATTCAATTTAATCCCTGATAAAATTCAACTTAATTCCCACTAAAATTCAATTTAATTCCAGTTAAAATTCAATTTAATTCCCCCTAAAATTCAATTTAATTCCCCCCAAATTCGCGCTTTGGAGGAGCAAAAATCCGGGAAAAAAGCGGAAAATCCTCGATTTTTCCGCAGAGAAATTTCCCTGAGCTTGGAAAATCCCAAAAAATTCTGTTCCCGCCTCCCAAATGAAGAAACCTCACCGAAATGTTTAATTTGCTTTTCGTATCTCTCCACAAAACTTTTGTGTTTCTTCTCCTTCTGCTCCTCCGTCTCCTCCTTCTCCTCGGGTTTCACGTTGAAAACGCTCTGGGAAAGCGGAGGAAAATTGGGAATGCTTCATCAGGGGGATTCCTCTTGGGATTTGGGGATTCTTTGGGAATTTGGGGAATTTTTAGGGATTTTTTGGGATTTTTTAGGGAATTTTTTGGGATTTTTTAGGGAATTTTTAGGGATTTTTTAGGGAATTTTTAGGGATTTTTTTGGGATTTTTAGGGGATTTTTGGGGAATTTTTTGGGATTTTTTAGAGAATTTTTGGGATTTTTTAGGGATTTTTAGGGATTTTTTAGGGATTTTTTGGGAATTTTTTGGGAATTTTTTTGGATTTTTTGGGAATTTTTTGGGGATTTTTAGGGAATTTTTTTGGGATTTTTAGGGGATTTTTTTGGATTTTTTAGGGAATTTTTTTGGATTTTTTAGGGAATTTTTTGGGGATTTTTGGGGGATTTTTAGGGAATTTTTGGGGAATTTTTGGGGGATTTTTGGGGGATTTTTAGGGGATTTTTTGGGGATTTTTAGGGAATTTTTTGGGGATTTTTAGGGAATTTTTTGGGGATTTTTAAGGAATTATTTTGGGATTTTTTTGGGGATTTTTTAGGGAATTTTTTGGGAATTTTTAGGGATTTTTTTGGGAATTTTTTGGGATTTTTTTAGGGAATTTTTTGGAGGACTTTTAGGGAATTTTTTGGGGATTTTTAGGATATTTTTAGGGATTTTTTTGGGGATTTTTAGGCAATTTTTAAGGAATTATTTTGGGATTTTTAGGGAATTTTTTGGGGATTTTTAGGGATTCTTTGGGAATTTTTAGGGATTTTTTTGGGGAATTTTTTAGGGAATTTTTTGGAGGACTTTTAGGGAATTTTTTGGGGATTTTTAAGGAATTTTTAGGGATTTTTTAGGGAATTTTTTGGGAATTTTGGGGGGACTTTTAGCAAATTTTTTGGGAATTTCTAGGGAAATTTTGGGGGGATTTTTAGGGAATTTTTAGGGAATTATTTTGGAACTTATTTGGGGATTTTTAGGGCGTTTTTGGGGATTTTTTGGGGGGGGATTTTTAGGGAATTTTTAGAAAATGTTTAGGAAATATTTTTTTTTTCATTTTTATGGAATTTTGGGGGAGGGGCGGGATTTTTAGGGAATTTTTACAGAATTTTAGGGGGATTTTTGAGGACTTTTAGGAACTTTTTAGGGAATTCTTTAGGATTCTTAGGGATGGCAAACCCCACCTTACTAAAACCATCCTTGCTGAGCGTATCCACATTCCAGGGCATGTTCTTCTCCTTCTTCCTCAGCTCCTCCAATTTATTCTCCCAACTTTTCTCCTCATTTTTCAGCTGCTGAGCCTCGGCCTGGAGCTTTTCCAGCTCCCCCTTCCCGCTCTCCGGCTCGGCCAATTCCAACTCCTTCATTTTCTTCTGGCACTCGGCGATTTTCCTCTTGCATTCCCTGCAGCCTTTATCCAACTCCTCCTTTTCCTTCTGGAACTGCTCCATCCTCTCCACTCGGGCCTGAGAGGGAAAAAAACAAAACAAAAAATGGAAAAGAAACAAAAATTCCAAGTTGGAAAATCCAAAAAAAATCCGCTCTTCCCAATTGGGGTTTTTATTTTTCCTCCCCTTGGAGGAAATTTGGGATTTTGGTGTTTCCCAGGGTTTTGGGATGAGTTTTCTGCCTCATTTCGAGGATCCTGAGGGATAAAAAATCCCAATTGGGGTTTTTATTTCCCTCCCCTTGGAGGAAATTTGGGATTTTGGTGTTTCCCAGGGTTTTGGGATGAGTTTTCTGCCTCATTTCGAGGATCCTGAAGGATAAAAAATCCCAATTGGGGTTTTTATTTTTCCTCCCCTTGGAGGAAATTTGGGATTTTGGTGTTTCCCAGGGTTTTGGGATGAGTTTTTTGCCTCATTTCGAGGATCCTGAAGGATAAAAAATCCCAATTGGGGTTTTTATTTCCCTCCCCTTGGAGGAAATTTGGGATTTTGGTTTTTCCCAGGGTTTTGGGATGAGTTTTCTGCCTCATTTCGAGGATCCTGAGGGATAAAAAATCCCAATTGGGGTTTTTATTTCCCTCCCCTTGGAGGAAATTTGGGATTTTGGTTTTTCCCAGGGTTTTGGGATGAGTTTTTTTGCCTCATTTCGAGGATCCTGAGGGATAAAAAGGCTCCGGATGAGGCAGGGATTGAGGAAAAGGAGCGGGAATATTTTTTGGGATATCCTGAGGGATAAAAAGGCTCCGGATGAGGCAGGGATTGAGGAAAAGGAGCGGGAATATTTTTTGGGAATTCCTGAGGGATAAAAAGGCTCCGGATGAGGCAGGGATTGAGGAAAAGGAGCGGGAATATTTTTTGGGAATTCCTGAGGGATAAAAAGGCTCCGGATGAGGCAGGGATTGAGGAAAAGGAGCGGGAATATTTTTTGGGAATTCCTGAGGGCTCCAGGGATGGGAATACGAGGCGCTGAGGGGAAAATGAAGCCCCGTTCCCATGAGGGCTGGAAAAGGAGAATTCCCGCTCTTTCCCTGTGGGAACAACACAAGGAGAACCTCCCCTCATTCCCATTCCCATTCCCATTCCCATTCCCTCCGGGAATCCCGGGCGCGGTCGCCATGGGAACGGGCCCGAGCCGCCCATCCTCAGGCCCTCAGCGCCGGCCGAGCCGCACCTGGTGCCGCCATCGGAAGAGACTGGCGGTGTCGATGTTGGGGTGAGTCTCGTCCTCGTCGTCCGAGACCTCGATGTGGTCCCACACGCTGTAATCCACCATGGCGCGGCCGCCGCGACCCTCCGCCACCCGCCCGGCCCGGCCGCTTCCGCCCGCGTCTGACGCACTTCCGCCAGCGCATGACGCACTTCCGGCGTCACGCCCGCCTTCCCGAGCATGCGCGCTGCTTGATTGAAGCAGCCCGCTTCAAAGATGGCGGCGGATTTAAACAGACACGAACATCACTACCACCGTAACCTGAGGATCCCTACAGTGTGTTTTATCCGATATTATTATCATTATTATTATTAGTAATAGTAGTAGTAGTGTTATTCGTATTATTAGTATTATTAGTATTATTAGTATTATTAATTATTAATATTATTAGCATTATTAGCATTATCACCATAATTATTAGCATTATTAGCATTATTATCACTATTATTATTATTATTATCATCATCATTATCATCATTATTATTATCATCATCATTATTAACATTATTATCATTATTATAACCATTACTATCATTATCATCATTATTACTATTAATATAATCATCATTATTACGATTATTATGGGATGAAATTAAAGGAAAATAGTCTTTTGAAGGATTTTAAGGGTTTAAGTTGAATGAAAATCCTGCCTCCTCCATGATTTGAAGAGGTTTAATGGACCGGGTGTCCCCGTTTTCTGTTATTTAAGGGATTCTGTTGAGGGCAAATCCAACTTTTTTGTCGTTTCACTGATTAAATTGAGGAGGAAACTCTGTTTTCCGTCATTTTCAAGGGTTTAAATTGAAAGAAGCCTCTTTATGGGCTGTTCTAAGAGTTCCATCAACAGGGGCCCTCTGGTTTAAGGAAAACCCCACGTTTTTCACCATTTTTAGGTTTTATTTTGGAGGGAGACCCTCGTTATCCGTTATTTTAGGGGTCTAAACATCATTTTAGGGGTCTAAACATGCAGGGAAGCCCTTTTCCCATTTTTAAGAGTTAAACTGAGGGGGGAAAAACCCTTTTTTTTCATCATTTTAAAGGGTTTAACTAGAGGGGTTTGATTAATTATGAGGGAAAACGGTGGAAAACGTGAGGGGAAAAAGAGCAGGAAACGTGAGGGGAAAAAGAGCAGGAAACGTGAGGGGAAAAAGAGCAGGAAACGTGAGGGGAAAAGAGCAGGAAACGTGAGGGGGAAAGAGCAAGAAGCCTGAGGGGAAAAAGAGCGGGAAAATGTGAGGGGAAAAGAGCGGGAACATGAGGGGAAAAGAGTGGGAACGTGAGGGGAAAAGAGCGGGAAAACGTGAGGGGAAAAGAGCGAGAAAACGTGAGGGGAAAAAGGGTGGGAAACGTGAGGGGAAAAGGGTGGGAAATGTGAGGGGAAAAGAGTGGGAACGTGAGGGGAAAAGAGCAGGAAACGTGAGAGGAAAAGAGCAAGAAACCTGAGGGGAAAAAGGGCGGGAAAACGTGAGAGGAAAAGAGCGGGAACGTGAGGGGAAAAGAGCGGGAATGTGAGGGGAAAAAGGGTGGGAAACGTGAGGGGAAAAGAGCAGGAAACGTGAGGGGAAAAGGGTGGGAAACGTGAGGGGAAAAGGGTGGGAAACGTGAGGGGAAAAGGGTGGGAAATGTGAGGGGAAAAGAGCAGGAAACGTGAGGGGAAAAGAGTGGGAACGTGAGGGGAAAAGAGCAGGAAACGTGAGAGGAAAAGAGCAAGAAACCTGAGGGGAAAAAGGGCGGGAAAACGTGAGAGGAAAAGAGCGGGAACGTGAGGGGAAAAGAGCAGGAAACGTGAGAGGAAAAGAGCAAGAAACCTGAGGGGAAAAAGGGCGGGAAAACGGGAGAGGAAAAGAGCGGGAACGTGAGGGGAAAAGAGCAGGAAACGTGAGGGGAAAAGAGTGGGAACGTGAGGGGGGAAGAGCAGGAAACGTGAGAGGAAAAGAGCAAGAAACCTGAGGGGAAAAAGGGCGGGAAAACGGGAGAGGAAAAGAGCGGGAACGTGAGGGGAAAAGAGCAGGAAACGTGAGGGGAAAAGAGTGGGAACGTGAGGGGGGAAGAGCAGGAAACGTGAGAGGAAAAGAGCAAGAAACCTGAGGGGAAAAAGGGCGGGAAAACGGGAGAGGAAAAGAGCGGGAACGTGAGGGGAAAAGAGCGGGAAACGTGAGGGGAAAAGGGAAGGAAACATGAGGGGAAAAAGACAAAATCTAAGTAATTTGTAGGGTGCTCACCCCCACCCACCTCTACCCTAGCACCCACCCCATGGTTTAAGTCAGAGGCACCCAAAACACCTCAAACCCACAGCTCAGACCCCCAGCATTCCCATAACAAACCTCCAGCGCTGAGTCCTGAGGCTTTATTAGAAGATTTTATGGGGGTAACACACACAAGACCCCCCCCTGAAATCAGCTACAAAAATAGAAGTGCTAAAAGCCCCCCCAAAATGAGGTAGGGTGGCAAGGCCCAGGCCCCCCCAAAACAAGGTGGGGAGCACGGGTTTGTAGTGTCTGAAATGGGACCAGCCCAGAGTGAGGGGGGACCCCCCGGTGGTCCGGGGGTGTTTGGGGGACCCCCCCCCACCTCAGCTGGGGGGAGCCCGGCCGTGAGGGGTCCGCGCTCGCCGGGCCACCGTGGCCAAGCGCTGCTGGGCCAGGAAGGACTGAGCGCCGCTGGCGAGGCCCCGAGACGCCGTCCCTCCTTCCTGCCGCTGTAGGGCCAGGCCCTGAGGGGACAGCGGGGGTTACCGGGGGTCTTGGGGAGGGGGTCCCGGGGGTCTCCATCCCCGTGGGGGCCCCCCCCCAGCGACTCACCATGTTGTACCAGGCGGTGACCAGCAGCCGCTCCTCGCGCTCCCGCTGCGCCCGGCTGCGCTCCCAG